AAACGATGGCGAACCCGAGTCCTGGCAAACCCGGGTCTTACGCTCCCCCGACAGACACGGAACGCGTGGCGGATGAGGCCTTTCGCCGTGGCCTCTCGGGGCCGACGCCGCGGGAGGGGCGAGGCGTGGGGCCCCGGCCGACCCTCCAGCACGTCGAGCGGAGCCGTGCCCTGCGTCTCTGTTTTTCGGGTCGGGCGGAAGGAGGGGGATAGCAAAGGGGGGGTTTGAGAATCGGCTCGCGTAGCTGATTTTCCCGGCGCCTCCCGGCGCCGGGAGGCGGCCATGTATCGAGGAATGGGCCCCTCGGTGAGGCCGAAACCAGCTGCATGCAGCAAATTTCGTAACCCCCCCTTTCCCAATCCCCCCCTTTCGCCCGGCCCGAGTTTTGCTCTCGGGGCCCTTTTCGTTCCGTCTTCGCTCTGCCCCCGCTGCGCCACGGACTCGGCACGAAGAGTCGGCCCACGAGATCGCCCAGAAACGCCGTGGCGCTCGAGCCCCGGCCTCTGCCTCTCCCGGCCAGGCAGGAGGGAGGGCCCGCCCAGCTTCGCTCTGCCCCCGCTGCGACACGAACTCAGAACGAAGACGGCCCACGAGATCGCCCAAGCGCCGTGGAGCTCGAGCCCCTGCCTGCCTCTCCCGGCCAGGCCAGGCAGGAAGACCCGCCCAGCTCCGCGCACCTGGACTGCTTCGCCGAGACGTGCGCACGGCGGGCGCACGCCCGCCGCCACCCGTGGGCCACCCGGGCGCCGCGGTGAGCTGCCGCGCCGACCGGGCTGCTGCGCCGGCCGTCGCGGGCGCGGATCGGGGCAGGGGCCTCTGGGAGTAGGTCGGGCATGTCCTCCTGCCGACGGATTTCGGAGGGACCGTCCCGGCAATCCTATATAGGCCTACCACAAAATATTCATAGAACCCAAAGCTGTTCTCATAACAAAAACAAGGTTCTTAGAACGTGAGCCCGATCTGCTAAAACAGCACGGTCTCAGCCAGAACAGTTCTAAGAGCATTTCGCGCAGACCACGAACAGTTGGGGGGCGGAAAGATACGGATACGTGGTCCCGGGACCTCTCTTGGGGTGCGTTCTGACCAGAATTTCGAGGCGAATCCAGCGGTGACAACGAGGATTCCCCAGGAGGACCAGGAAAGGCCGAAAACGAAGGGGGACAACACGTATCCGTATCTTTTTCTCCCCAGAAACAGGTTCTTCGAACGTGTCTTGGTGCGCCTGCGGGGAAGCCACGACGCTTCGCCACTGCTCGAGGCTCGCCGATCGCCGGATCGCTCCGAACTGGCCGGCTCGCCGGGCTCCCCGGCGGCGTGGCACCTGGAGCGCACCCTGCGGCGGGGTCGCCGCCACGCCGGCACGGCACGGCACGAGCCTGCCGCACCCGCGGACCCCCTCCAGGAGGCCCCGAGAGGCTCGGTGCGGGGCGATCTGAGGCAACGGCGGCTCAGAGTGGATCCCCCGACCCTCGGGGATGGACCGGGCCCCCTCTAGTAAGACGTGGCTCAGTGAAAACGACCGGACGCAAGCCCAGAGAGTGACGGCCACGGCGCCCTCTCGGTAACCGACGACGGACAGTTCACGGGCTCTGTCCACCCCCGAGACCCCTCCCAAGGTTCCAACGCGGGGGACGCAAGGGGACGGCGGAAGCGGAAGGCCGCCGAGGAGGAGGAGGAGGAGGAGGAGGAGGAGGAGGAGGGGGAGGAGGAGGAGGAGGAGGAGGAACCGGAGGAGGACCAGGAGCAGGAGCAGGAGCAGGAGCAGGAGCAGGAGCAGGAGCAGGAGCAGGATGATGATGATGATGATGATGATGATGATGATGATGATGATGATGATGATGATGATGATGATGATGATGATGATGATGATGATGATGATGCTGATGCTGATGCTGATGATGATGAGGAGGAGGAGGAGGAGGAAATATGAGGAGGAGGAGGAATTATGAGGAGGATGAGGAGGACCAATGCAAACTCAAGAGTCATCGACGATGTTGGATTAACCATCCGTCCAAGCTCCCTCTTCATAGGCCCCTACAACGGTTCATTTCCACCGAGGGAACTGCCTCGTTGGAAGACAACTGTTTGAAGACCCTGAAGCATGCCAAAACATTCTTCTCTGGACTCATACGCCACGGATCAACCTGACTGTTGCGTCTTGACGATGCTGGATCGTGCCTCAAAACCATTCCTGGGACTTCAACACCGCGGATCAACGTAACTTTTGCACCCGCATAATCCGGAATCTGTCGAGGACACCATTTCTGCTACGTTGATCATGGGAATCAATGAAACTCTTGCAAATGTCACAACGACTGTGCGCGGCGCTAAAATGAGAACCACATTTTGAAAACCAACCGCCCTCAATCCGTGAACCTCGTGTACAATGTTTAAGACGAATGTGCTCGGCACGAACGTGAGAACCATATTTGAAAGAACGTGTTCTACCGCTGCTGGCGGAAAACCGGGGGGGGTCACTACCGGTTCGAACCCCTCCCCCCCCCCCTCTGGAAAACCGGGGGGGGTCACTACCGGTTCGAACCCCTCCCCCCCCCCCAGCTCATCATGAAAAGAGGGGGGGGGTCACTACCTGTTCGAACCCCTCCCCCCCCCCGCTCTCCCCTCGAACTCGAAAACCGGGGGGGGTCACTACCGGTTCGAACCCCCCCCCCCCTCGAAAACCGAGGGGTGGTGCGGATAGTGGTGGGGACGGTGGTGGTGGGGACAGTGGTGAGGGGACAACGGGACAGTGGTGGGGACAGTGGGACAGTGGTGGGGACGGTAGTGGTGGGGACAATGGTGAGGACAATGGTGGGAAAAGTGGGGACAGTGGGACAGTGGTGGGGACGGTGGTGGTGGGGACAGTGGTGTGGGGACAGTGGGAATGTGGTGGAAACAGTGGGACAGTGGAGGGTACAGTGGTGGTGGGGACAGTGGTGAAGGCGGTGGCGAGGACGGCGGTGGGAACATGGGACAGAGGTACAGTGGGGACAGTGGTGGGGACAGTGGGGACAGTGGTGGGAACAGTGGGACAGCTCAGTGGGACAGCAGAGGAGTCAGTGGGACAGTGGGGACAGGGGGGATAGTCGTGGAGAAAGTTGGGAGAGTGGAACCGTGGTGGGAACAGTGGTGGGGACAGTGGGGGACAGTGCGACAGTGGTGGTGGCACTGGTGGGGACAGTAGGGGCGGTGGTGGAACCAGTGGGGACAGTGGTGGTGAGGACAGTGGCGCTGGGAACAACAGTGGGGGATGTGGTGAGGACGGTGGTAGGGACCGGGAGTCGTTTGCTGGAGGTGAGAGGGGAGGTGGGGAGGGGTTCGAACCGGTAACCCCCCCCTCCGGTTTTCGAGGGGGGGGGGGGTTCGAACCGGTAGTGACCCCCCCCCGGTTTTCGAGTTCGAGGGGGGGGGGGGGGGTTAGGGGAGGGGGGGGTTTTGCCGGGGGAAGGGGGGGGGGGGGGGGGGGGGGAGGGGGGGGGAGGGGGGCAGGGGGGGGGGGGGGGGGGGGATTTTCGGGAGGGGGGGGGGACCCCCGGGTTCCGGAGGAAAAGGGCGGCAATTTTCCACAATAAAGCGGCGGTGGATCACGCTCTCTCCCATATTTTGAAAGCGACCCGCCCTCCATCCGTGTTACTCCTTGCACATACAAAACGAATGTGCGCGGCGCGAATGGGAGAGACGCATTTTGAAAACGGCCCGCCGTCAATCCGTGAATGTCTTGCGAATGTTCGAAACGAGTGTGCGCGGTGCTAAGGCGAGAGCCACATTTTGAACACGAGCCGCCCTCAATCCGTGAAGCTCTTGCATTTCTTCTTAATGAATGCGCTCGGCGCCAAGGCGAGACCCACATTTTGAAACGACCCGCCCTCCATCCGTGAAACTCTTTTACATTCTAAAAACGAATACGCGCGGCGCCAAAGCGAGAGGAACATGTTGAAAACGACCTGCCCTCCATCTGTGAAACTGTTGCCACTTTTTATGCTTCAGGGTCAGAAAGCGGGGGGGGGGGGCGGGGCGCCCTAACAACAAGCCTCGGGGAGCGGATGAGGAGGAGGAGGAGGAGGAGAGGAGGAGGAGGAGGAGGAGGAGGAGGAGGGAGGATTAGGAGGAGGAGCGGGAGGATGCCGAGCAGGACGAGGAGGAGCAGGAGGAAGAAGAGGGGGAGGAGGAGGAGGAAACAGGGAAGGAGGAGGAGGCGGAGGCGGATGATGATGATGATGATGATGATGATGATGAGGAGGAGGAGGAGGAGGAGGAGGAGGAGGAGGAGGAGGCGGATGAGGAGGAGTAGTAGCAGGAGCAGGATGATGATGCTGCTGAGGAGGAGGAGGACGAGAACGAACACGAGGATGCTGATGCTGACAACGATGCAGATTATGCTGGTTATGCTGGTTATGCTGATGATGATGATGATGATGATGCTGCTGCTGCTGATGATGATGATGATGATGATGATGATGAGGACGAGCAGGATGAGGAGGAGAAGCTGGAGAAGCATTTCGATGATGGTGATGCCTATGATGACACTGATGATGATGAGACGGGGAAGGAAGAGGCGAAGGAGGATACTACTGAGAAGGAAGCAGGAGCAGGATAATGATGAGGATGAGGACGAGGAGGAGGGGGAGGAGGATGAGGAGGGTGAAGATGAGGCAGAGGATGAGGAGGAAGCGGAGGAAGAGGAGGATGACGAGGAAGAGGATGGTGAGGAGGAGGAGCAGGGACAGGAGCAAGAACATGCTGATGCTGATGCTGCTGCTGCTGATGATGATGCTGCTGCTGCTGCTGCGGATGATGATGCTTATGCTGATGATGCCGATGATGCTGATGCCGATGCCGATACTGATGCCGATGATGCTGAGGATGCTGCTGATGATGCTGATGCCGATGCTGACGCTGATGGCACTGAGGATGCTGCTGATGCTGCTAATGATGGCAGAGGAGGAGGACGATGATGGAGGAGCCGGGGCGGGATGGGGGGGGGAGGAAGGGCGGCGCGCCCTCTCTCAGCGCAGGCCCAGCCGGCGCCCAGGGCGCCCGCGGCGAGCCCGGCCAAGGAGTAGGCCTGTCACGGGGGCGTGCGGGGAAGATCGCTCTGCACGCCCGCTTCAGGTGCGATCAGCCCATATGGTGAGGATGCGCGGTAAGGATGCAGGGGCCGGGAAGTCAACTCATAATCAAATGCATCAGGAGAGCTGAGCTGCTCTCAGAATAAAGCTTAAATGCAAATGCTCAGCGTAAAAATCTGCTTTCTCAAAATGAATGGTCAAATATCTCTCAAATCTTAGCAAAACCGACCAAAAGTTATCACTTTGTCCGCCCGGGCCCGGTGGGCCAGCGAAAGTCGCCAAGGATGGGCCGAGGGGGCAAAGATGCAAGGGTACCCTCGGAACATCGCTCATCTTTATCCTGCGGGTTGACTGTAGGACAATACCCAACAACATATGTTGCTCAACACCGACAGCGGCCGCTGTTGGGCAAGTGGCCTCCTGTCTCGGATGGACAACTGCCGCGGCGACGCCGACAACGAGCCCGGTTCAGAATGAACCAGAACTGCTGTTGGACTTTGTGCCCATTCTTTCCGTACCACTTTCGGCCGCCCCGATTTTGGAAAGTTCGTGCGTTCCTCCCCCCCTCTCCCACGGCCGCCCTCTTCTTCTCCCGCCTCCCTGGTGCCAGCTCGCAGTTTCGCAATCCGGCCCAGGTGGCGCCACGCGCCAAGGGACCGCCAGCGCCGCGACCAAAAAGTGTGCCTGCCACGGATCAGTCAGCATCGGATCGGAGCACCGGATCGACACGAAACGTGCGGCGGCGCTCGGGGTGGGCGGTGGCGCTCCGCCGCCGAGTGGCCTGTCCGCTGGGCCCCTCGGGGACGAAAAGAGCACGAGGACGACGGCGGCGGCGAACAAGCTCGGACAGGGGCGAGCGGCGGGGGCGTCTTGGAGTCTTCCTGGGAGCGGGGGGGGGGGGAATGAGGCGGTGCGGCGCCCACGGGCCATCGGGCTGCAAGCGACCTCGAAAGCACTGGCTCTTCTCGTCCTCCTCTTCGTCGCAGTTCTCGCCAATCGTCGTCTTGTCGTCGTCGTTGTCGTCGTCGTCGTCGTTCTGATGCTGCTGCTGCCCTCCTCCTGCAGCCTCTGGAGCCTCTTAGCGCGGGTCCCGCAACCGCAAGACACGCGCAAACGGAGCACAAAACTCAGTGGACTGGGAGGGAGACCCCACCCCCCCCTCTTGCTTGTCGGGGCGCCCCCCCCGTGGAGTCTCTTCAACGCTCTCACCGCCCCACTGGATGGCCTGCCGAAGCATCGGTACCGTCGGACCTAGGCCAGAAGAACATCCCTCAAGAACATGAGACCCTCCGCCAGCCAAACAACAGAACATCCAAGGGTATCCTGCCCACGGTGCGCACGAACATCCAACAAACACGAAGAACATTAGGGTACCCTCCCCGAACCGACCTCGATCTTATACCTCGGCCCGGCCGTACGCCGAGCCTTTGCCCTCCTCATGCTCTCCCTCTTCCGCCTCCGCTTGTCGTGCTCTCGTAGGAGGCCGTCGTGCTGGGCCCGACCGCTCGCGCGGCCACACCAGCAGCATCGGCAGCAGCAGCAGCAGCAGCAGCAGCGAGCCGCAGGTGCCACCTCCGAGCCCCTGCCCCTCACAAGTAGCTCAAGCTGGTGCCTCCTCCCTCTCCTCCTCCTCCTCCTCCTCCTCCTCCTCCTCCTCCTCCTCCTACTCCTCCTCCTCCTCCGCCTCCTCCTCGCACCCTCTCCTCCTCCTCCTCCTCTCCTCCTCCTCCTCATCCTCCTCCTCCTCCTCCTCCTCCTCCTCCTCCTCCTCCTCCTCCTCCCCCATCTCCTCCTCCTCCTCCTCCTCCTCCCTCCTTCTCCTCCTCCTCTCACCTCCTCCTCTCCTCCCTCCTCCTCCTCTCTCACTCCCTCTCCTCCTCCTCCTCCTCCTCCTCCCTCCTCCTCCTCCTCCTCCTCCCTCCTTCCTCCTCCTTCCTCCTCCTGTCCTCCTCCTCCTCCTCCTCCTCCTCCTCCTCCACCTCCCTCTCCTCCTTCCCTCTCCCCTCCTCCCTCTCCTCCCTCCTCCTCCTCTCCTCCTCCCCTCTCCTCCTCCTCCTCTACCTCCATCCTCCTCCTCCTTCCTTCCTCCTCCTGCTCTTATCCTCTTATACGTCCCTCCCCCCCCGTGCCGGTCGTCCGCACCACACTACTCCGAGAACCATGACCGCCGAGCAGCAAGCAGAGTGGAGAGGCCTGCCGCCGCGTGCTGGACAGTGCGGCCTCCTCGGGGATCCCCTCGCCTGCTCGACCTCGATTAGGAAGGCACCAGGAAGGCACCAACTATACACCAACACCGATCCTGGCCAGGATCACCCTGGGCCCAGGATCGGTGTATACGCCCTCCTGCCTTGCGCAAGAAGGCATATACACCGATCCTGGGCCCAGGGTGATCCTGGGCCAGGATCGGTGTTGGTGTATAATTGGTGCCCTCCGATCCATGCCTCTTTTGCGGAAGATGAATTCCCATAGGCCATCCCGCGGCCGCCTCCCGAGGGCTCCGACGATGACTCCTACGAGGAGTGCGCGGACGACGCTGGGGCCGGTTGGGTGCGTGCAGCCGCTGACGGGGCCTGCCAGCACTGGGCCCATCCCCTCTTGGCCAGGGCTGGTTTTGGAGTAACTAAGGGCCAGACCAGTGGTTCAACCACTCAGCTCTTGCGCGCGGCCTGGCGCAGTCCGCTCAACGTGCTGAGACTCGCGCCATGCTCGATCTGGTCGCCACCGCTGAACGGCCTGTCCACGTTTTCGTTGGCAACGAACAGATTAGGGACGGACCCGATGACCATCTCAGCGGTGAACCGCAACAACAAACCGGAACCCAAGCCGACCTCCAGCACAAAATCCACCGTGTCCCGCAAGCCAAACCGGACATGTTCAACGTCCGGAAGGTGGGAAGCCACCTGGGTGAGCAAGGCATCGGCGAGAGGCGTATCGCGCCGATAGCGGAGGCCTTTCAACCGCCACGCAGATGAACTCGCCACGGCTGGCGGGCGCTTGCTGCTTAGCATGCCATCAGGCCTCGCCGACGCAGCTCAGAGTAGACACGCATTCGCGGCGGTCCTCCACAGCGCAGCTGTCGCTATCTATGACTGGCGTCCCCACGCGCTTCCCCTGCAAGACAAAAGGGCGGGCTACTCCAGGGCTGAACTCAGCAGGGTGAAGCCCCACCCTCTCACCACTCGCCAAGGCGGCCACGAGCCACCGAGCTGATGAGGCGGCCCCGCCCATCTCGACAGTCCACCAAGGCCCGACTACTTCGATCACCTCGATCATCCATAGGCGGGCCTGCTTGACGACTTTGACGGCGGCGAGCAAGACCCGCTCGGGGTAGGCGCCTCCCTGAAAAAGGGGGGGGGATGAAAACGACGCGTCCCCCTGCTTTAGTCACTGCAGACACGGGTACAGTGATCACGATGACCACCGCGACGTGTGCCAGCCAAAACCCTCCAGTGGGGAGGTTCAAGCCGCCCACGGCCAACAGGATCAGGCCGCTACTGCCAGCCCCGCTCGTCGCCAAGCCTTCCCCTCCTCCCACCACGGTACGGGGAGCAACGGACGGCCAGATACCGACGACGGAACAAGCCCGGGTGGGACAGGGACCCAGCCAACAGACCGAAGACAATCCCTTACGCAGCACCTCTTATCGGCCAGGCGACAGCCAGATTTTCCTCGCCGCTAACATAAACGCGCTGCAACAACGGGCTGCCCGATCTCTCCAGCACGTCCGAGAACAATCCACCCCGTTGCTTGACATGTTCCACCGAGCACAAGCTGCCTGGGACGTTCGCCGACTGCCTTCGGACCTGGCCTCAGACCGCGCCAGGGCGGAGGGTTCCCCCTGCTTCTGAAGCGGCGCCTCCCGCCATTCGGGGTAGGCCCAGCGGGCGCGTGCACCCCGCGGGCCTGGACAGACCCTCTGTCCGAACTGGTGCGCTCTCCCCTCTCCTCTCTCCTCCCTCCTGTCCCCTTCTCCTCCTCCTCCTCCTCCTCCTGCTCCTCCTCCTCGCTCCTCCTCCTCGCTCCTCGCTCCTCGCTCCTCGCTCCTCGCTCCTCTTCCTCCTCCTCCTCCTCCTCCTCCTCCTCCTCCTCCTCCTCCTCCTCCTCCTCCTCGCTCCTCCGCCTCGCTCCTCCCGCCCGTTTCCTCGTCGTTCCTCCCTCCAGGCCGAAGAAGCGCGCTGAAGGCGCGGGGCCGCTCTCCGGCCGCGCCACGGGGGCCGCGAGGGCACGGCGGGCTGGCGCAGCGCGGCCTGTGCGGCCGGCGGCGTGCGGCGCCCCGGCTCTTCTTCTACTCCCTCCTCCTCCTCCTCCTCCTCCTCCTCCTCGTCCTCCTCCTCCTCCTCCCCTCCTCCTCCTCCTCCCCTCCTCTCCCCCTCTTCCTCCTCCCCTCCCCTCCTCCCCCCCCCTCCCCCCCTCACCCTCCTCCTCCCCCTCCTCTCCTCCTCCTCCTCCTCCTCCTGCCTCTGCTCCTGCTCCTGCTCCTGCTCCTGCTCCTGCTCCTGCTCCTGCTCCTGCTCCCTCTCGCTCCTCGCTCCTCGCTCCTCGCTCCTCGCACCTCCTCCTCCTCCTCCTCCTCCTCCTCCTCCTCCTCCTCCCCCTCCTCTTCCTTCTCCTCCTCCTCCCCCCCTCCTCTGGGGCACAGGAGGAGATGCTGGCACGAGGTGTTTCTGTCGCCAGGGCGCTTCCGAACCGAACACACACATATGTATGCACACTTGTACATCATACATGTATGTGTATATATATGCATATATTGATACACACATATGTAAACATATATATATATAGATATAAAACACATCTTCTTGTCGTATGTGATATCGTCTCCCAAGCGGCATGGCCAGACCGCGCCCGGCAAGGAACTCATACTAGAAGCTTTCCGAGCGTGCGGATCGCCCCTGCGCGGCCGACGCACATATGCAGTATAGCGGAGGCCTGTCCGCACGAAACCTCCCACACGAAGCCCAAAACCCGAGATCCCAGGACGTCCATCGATGTTTGGCGTGGGAGCGTCGCGCCCTCCACGAGCAGAACCATCGCGACCCGAGAAGCCCAGGGCACCCTGGAGGCAGGCATGGTGCTTCCTGGCATGGGCCTCCACTGCACTCTCTGGAGCCGGGGCGGCGCAGCGCCTCGGCCTCCTCGCTCCCCTGCCCCTCGCTCGCTTCTCTTCTCCTGCTCGCCGCTGCCGCCGCTCCCTCCTTCCCCCTCTCCTTCTGTGACTCCTGCGGCTGCTGCCCCCCCTCCCCCTCCCTCCCCCCTCGCCCCTCCCCCTTTTCCTCCTCACGGGCAGCTCCTCCCCGTCGCAACCCCGGCCGTGTCGGTGGGGCGTCCCCCGAGCATCTCGCCCGAGACTTTCTCCTCCTCCTCATCCTGAGAGGAATGGAATGGAATGGAATGGGATGGAATGGAATGGGATGGAAATCCGCAAGGGAAGCAAACGCCAGGAAAAAGGCCGGCTCGGCGCTCCCGCCGGAGCCGCTGAGAGGCTAGCCCCCGCGCATAGCCTCACCTACTCCTCGATGTCGGAGTCGTCCTCCTCCGTGGCCCTGGCGCGCCGCCGCTGGCGCCAGCGGTTGACGGCCGCCTCCACGTCTTCCTCGTTCAAGCCGTATGCTGCCAAGATCTCAACCCTCGTCAGCATGCGCCTGGGCGCCCCCCTCCCCATCTGGGGTCCGACCGTGGGCCCTGCCACTGGTGCGCGGCCGAAGTCTGGCCCCAGGCACGCGGCGAGGTCCGCCGAAGTTGGCTCCCGCAACGTGGAGAGCACCCACGTTCGGCACTGCCGATGCCCCGGGTGCCGGCCGTCAGCCAGGCGGGCTCTCTGGCTCTGGAGCGTGGTTGTGGTTGCCCCGTGGCACGTGCCTGCCAGGTTGCGGGCGTATCTCGTGCCATAAGCCCCGCACCTCAGGCACGCCACCAGGGTCTGGGGCGGGCGGCCCGGAGCGGTGGCCTCGGCAGCCCGGAGCTGATGCGAAGCTGCTCCGGATCCTTTGCGTGCCGCCCCTCTGACACCGCCGCCGTCGACAGCCGCGGGCCCACCACTGGCTTCGGCGTGCGCGGTGCTAGGGCCGTCGCCGACGACCATCACAGTCCTTGGTGCACTCGTCGGCCAGGACCGCGTGGAGCTCCCCCGACCAGCGCGCGGCCTCCTGGGCGATGTCGTACAGCGTTAGCGTGAGCTCCTCAGCCTCCGCGGGCATGCTGTGGCACTCTGCCCCGTGCTTGGCCCACGTGTCGGCGGCCGCGTTGCCGGCGCGCTCCCAGTGGGTTGTCCTCCCCGCAGCGACGTCGGCATGCGTGGCGTGGGCGAGGACTTTCGTGACTGTGAAGTCCCCGAGCCCGAAGGAACCCCAGAATGGGCCCCACAGGTGTGCCCGCTCGTCCCCTGCCGAGCCCCCTGGCCCGCGCCTGAGAGCGGCCACGGTCCCGGCGCAGTCAACGAAGAGGTCGAGGTGCCCCAGCGCGACCTGCGGGAGCGCGAAGATGGCGAAATCCTCGCCGTCGCGGCTGAGCTGCCTGGGGCACATGGCCAGCGGCAAAGGCCCATACGCAGCAGCCTCAGATACTCCCCAACGGTTGCACTGGACAACTGCCCACCCAGCCCGGCTGATGCCCGGGAGGCGCCCTGCGAAGGCGGAGCCGTCAGTGAACAGCATGCCCCCGAGGCGACCCGAGCTGGGCCGATTCCACCAATGGATCTCGAACTCCTGGCAGCCGATGTCGTTCCAGAGGTGCTGGGGGTCCGGGAAGATCCTGCGCGCGAATCGCTCAGCAAACAAGGGTCCCTCGCGCTGCGCCCGCCGGGCCCTCGCCACCAGAAATGGGGATGCTGCGGTCCGCCTGCGGCTGGCATGGGCATCGCACTCGTACACCCTGTGGAAGATCGTGCCAGCCTTAGCCCGGCACAACTTGCACAGCCCGCACGCTGCGAGACCATGGCGCCAGAGCCGCTCCTAGCACCAATGCGTGTTGCCCACAAGGGCCCGGAGGGGACCCTGGCCATAGTTCTCTCTCTCTCTCTCTCTCTCTCTCCCTCAGCTGCGCGTGACTGCTCTGTCTACCTGTATACCCTCGCAACTCCCTCTGCTTTCTTTTCGTGCTTGTCTGCCGCATCTACACCGGATGCGGTGGAGCAGCGGAAGAAGCTACTCCGAGTTTCTCAATAAGCGTCGAGGGGGCGTCAACCCCGTCGGGGGAGGGTACCCCCCCACGCTTATTAAGAAACCCAGAGTACGCTGTCTCGAAACCTCGTTTCTAGTATGGGCGATGGCGCCAAAGTGTCTAGCGTCTCAACAAGGCCGAAACCCCTGCCCGAACCATCATGGGTACATAAAGGGGCTGAATGTCTGGCATCTCTTGGTAAACTTTAGAATCACTCTCGAGCGTCTCGCACCTACTATCTCTACTCAATTCTGCCCTCTATGCTTGCTGCTGCGAACCCTCTCCTCCCACCTCTGCTCGCAAATGCCAGACAGCCTGGCCCCCCAAACCTGGAATTCGGGAACCTGGCCGCCCACCAAAACCGGCCCAAAACCCCGACCCCTGAATCCGAAAACCCGGCTGCCCACCGAAAATCGGGTCGGGCGAAAGGGGGGGATAGCAAAGGGGGGGGTTGAGAATCAGCTCGCGTAGCTGATTTTCCCGGCGCCTCCGGGCGCCAGTAGGCGCCCATTGTATCGAAGAATGGGCCCCTCCGTGGGGCCGAAACCAGCTGCATGCAGCAAATTTCGTAAGCCCCCCTTTCCCAATCCCCCCCTTTCGCCCGACCCGAAAAAACCCGACCCCTGAGTCCGAAAACCCCGCTGCCCACCGAACACGGCCCGGCTTTTTCGCCAGAGCCCGGACGCTGCCACCCGGCAGCCCGGCCTCCTGCCGAGCTCGGCGCCGGCGCTGCCACGGTGGTGGGTGAGATCACAGGGGGATCCGCCATCCGAGGGCTTCCACACGTCTCGCGGCTGCTCCACGCCTGCCCGCGCGCGCTCTCGCTCTCTCTCTTCTCCTCTTTTCCTCTTTCTTGCCTTCTTGATCTCTCTCTCTCCCCCTCTTCTCTTTCTATATATATATATATATATATATATATAATACAATACTGACGACGACATGTGTCCACAGCGTGTGGTAGCAGTCGAGTTTGGGCGCCGGTCCTCTCCCTCTGTACCAGACGTGCGCAGCCTCAGGCTGCAGCCACAGCTGCGCCACGTTGCGCGATGGCACACGGACCTGGCTGCACCTCGACGTGGCCATTCGGGCCACCCTCTCGGGGTGCGCTCCGGTCCGCACCTCGGCACGAACCCGTGCCGCGACGGCGCTCGGCAGGAGGAGGCCGAGAGGCTCGATCGACATGCCCAACCCCCGGCCCTGTCGGAGGAGGGCCAGCTCAGACACCAAGAGAGGTGAAACCCAGACAGAATCAAAGGAGCTCCGGGACACACACAAATAAACACACAAATCCCAAGACTCCCATATGTTCACATCTTTTCTGCGCGTTCTTCTTTCCCCCCTACTTCCCATCTTTTCCAGGGAATCGACGATTACTTGGCGTCTGTGTGTTTCTTTCCCTCCGGGAGAATCGGGAGCGGCCAAGAGGGGGGTGTCCAAGAGGGGGGGGTGCAAATCATGACCGGCGGCATGTGCGCGGCCCAGCGGGGGGGCCTGGGACGTAATGAAATAAGAAGAGGCGCCATGAAATCTGAGGGAAAATCATGGCCCACGCCATGAAATCCCCCCCCCCCCAGTCATCACCCCCCTCTTTTCCGCTCCCGAGAGAATAAATAACCCCAGGCGGAGACGGAACGCTCCGCATGGACATCCTCTGCATGGACTTCGCCTCCTGAGGCACCGGCGGCCCCCCCGAACGAGGGGCGGGGATGATGAGGGGGGCTCGATTCGACTCGGCGGGGAGGGAGCGCCACGCTTCGCAGCGCCGTGTAGGGCCCGTGGAGCTTGAGGCTCAAAAGCAATCTTGGCAAGATTTCTCTCCCGCCCTACTCGCGGCAAAACAAAAACCCCGCGGCCACAACCATCCGCCGTGGGAGGGAGGAGGGCAGAGGACCGCCGATATTTCGCCTGGTCCACCTCCGATCCGGCCCCCCGCCCTTGGCCTTCTAGATGGGTTGTAATAGATGGGGTTGGAGGATCGTGCCTCATCGCCCGATGCATCAGCGACTTCGGCGATGTACCGGCGCCGTCGGCGCGGAGAACACCGGTCTCCACATCGAGCCGCGTGGTCGATGCATCGGTGATGCGGCGCGATCCTCCGACCCTCCCTGAGATCCGACGTCTTAGAAAAACTAAGCTTCGTGACAAGTCGTGACCACACCCAAAAATCCCATCTCTCCGCGCCATTCTTCGAACGGGATCGATCTGTGTGAGGGTCCCCGGGCCCAAACGCCCGGCTCGAGAAAACCGAGACACCAGGATCGGGGAGAGCACGTCTGGACTCGCGGCGACGACGGGCGTTGGTGGGAGGGGGGGGGCCCGCTCCCCGCCGAGTGAATTGTGGAGCCCGAGGAACAGGGGGCGGGCGGGGGGGGGGAGCGTTGCGCTACGGGGGGCGGGGGGAGGAGGTGGCCGCGCGCGGCGCACCCTGCAGGGTGAAACGCGAGAGGGGATGCTCGACCTGGCCAGGAGCCATGCCGACGCCGTCGACTCGACTCGCCTCGAGGGCATGTTGCGAAACTCCCGCGCCTCGCCCCGTGGGCCGACGAGCTGCCCTCCCCCTCCCCCAGGAACCCGTCGCGCGGGAACGCCACAGGGGACCAGGCCGGCCGCGCGGCCCCCGAGGCGGGGCCGCCGCCGTCGCGCCCCCCGCGCCCCCGGGCGGCACCGCGCGCGCGACGGCCCAGCCCCTCGCGGGCCTCCTCGTCGGCGTCGTCCGCCGGCGGCGCGCCCCCGCGGCCCCGGGGGAGGAGCGGAGCGGCCGCCCTCGGCGGCGAGCGTAGCGGCCCCCGCCCGGGGCCCGCCCCGCCGCAGCCATCGCGCCGCCCCCGCGGGCGCCTTCGCGAACAGGGGGCGGGTGCCGTCTGCGAGCCCGACGAGGGGGGGGGAGGAGGGAGTGGGAGGGGGAGGGGGAGGGGGAGGGGGAGGGGGGCGAGGGAGGAGGGGAGGGGGGAGGGGGAGGGGGAGGAAGAGGAGGAGGAGGAGGAGGAGGAGGAGGAGCGAGGAGGAGGAGGAGGAGGAGGAGGAGGAGGGGAGGAGGAGGAGGACGGGAGGAGGAGAGGAGGAGGAGGAGGAGGAGGAGGAGGAGGAGGAGGAGGAGGGAGGGAGGAGGGAGGAGGAAGGAGGAGGAGGAGGAGGAGGAGGAGGAGGAGGAGGAGGAGGAGGAGGAGGAGGAGGAGGAGGAGGAGGAAGGAGGAGGAGGAGGAGGAGGAGGGGGAGGAGGAGGAGGAGTAGGAGGAGGAGGAGGAGGAGGGAGGAAGGAGAGAGTAGAGGAGGGGGAGGAGGAGGAGGAGGAGGAGGAGGAGGAGGAGGAGGAGGAGGAGGAGGAGGAGGAGGAGGAGGAGGATTTTTTTTTGAGCTCAACGCCCGCGCAGCCTCTCACTGTCAGCAGCGGCGGCTGGGAAATCGCTGCTGCATCCACCATGCCACTGAGGCAAGGAGGTAAAGCAGAAGAACCCGACTCAGCATCCCTCCTTCCCTCACTGCCGCTCCGAGCGGCTTCAAGAAGGCGGAGGGACTTAGAAGCGACGCTGAGCTCTCGGGCCTGACGGGCCTGACGGACCTCCTCCTCCGAGGGGGGGGGGAGGCTCGACCGAGGAAGCAGGGACCGCCTCCTCCTCCACCGAATGGTTCCCAGCTGGGGCCACCACGGCCCTGCTGCACGAGGAAGGCTCCTCGGCCTGAGAACCAAACAGAGCACAGATCTGGTGAGTGTTCACCGTCACATCCCGCTTCCTGGGGTTCGGATGTATTCCACGGCAGAGGTCCCTCCAAGAATACTCAGCATGCCTGGAGGGCCGATCGTTACAAAACTTCCCGAGGCCGTCCACAAGTGCACCTGTGCTGTGGTAGCGGCATTTCACGCAAACAAAAAGGTGCGAACCGTCACTGCAGGAGAAAGCCAAAACACGATGTCGCAGTGAAACA